CTTCAGGTCTTTACTCAAATAATTATTACCTCTGCACTCCCAACCTATATATCCCCTCTTCTCCCTTTCTGCTTTATGTATATGTGCGTGTGTGTGTGTGTGTGTGTGTAACTGTTAATTACAGAAATTTTCAAACATACACAGAAGTAGAAAGTAAGAAATCTCATGTGTCCATTATCCAGTTTCAACAACTTTCAATACGTGGCCAATACTGTTTCATCTATTCTCCTCTCTCCTCCAAATTATTTTAAAGTAAAAACTTTGGATATCATATTTTACATTACAGTATGCTAACACATATATATGGAATTTAGAAAGATGGTAATGATAACCCTATATGCAAAACAGAAAAAGAGACTCAGATGTATAGAACAGACTTGTGGACTCTGTGGGAGGAGGCGAGGGTGGGATGTTTCAAGAGAACAGCATCGAAACATGTATATTATCTAGGGTGAAACAGATCACCAGCCCAGGTTGGATGCATGAGACAAGTGCTCGGACTTGGTGCACTGGGAAGACCCAGAGGGATAGGGCGGAGAGGGAAGTGGGAGGGGGGACCGGGATGGGGAATACATGTAAATCCATGGCTAATTCATTTCAATGTATGACAAAAACCACTGCAATGATGTAAAGTAATTAGCCTCCAACTAATAAAAATAAATGGAAAAAAAAAATAAATAAAAGACTGAAAAAAAAAAAACATAAATATCTATCTCCAGAAGGTAAGGCTCTTGTTTTAAAATTACATTACATGTTAAATACATTACACCCTAAAAACCGACAATTCCTTGTTATTAAATATGCCAGTGTCCAAATTTCCCAAATTTTTCATCAATGTCTTTTACAGTTAGTTTGCTCAAAGCAGGATCTAAGGACCATACAATGCATTTGATGGATATGACCCGCGACTCACTTTTAAAGTTACATTACCCCTCCCTCTGATTTCTTGCTATTTATTGCTTAAAAGAATCCAGGCCATTTGTCATTAAAACACAAAATATTTTATTTGTTTACTTTATTGTCTGCATCATTACTAAAATGTAAACACCATAAGGCAGAGATTTTAGTTTGTGTGCTATTAGCATTTAGACCAATGCCTGACACATAAAAGGCATCCAAAAAACATTAAATGAATATTTGGCATTCATGCCAAAAGTGCACAGCAGAAATTGCTAATCACAGCACTCTGTCCTGCTGAGTCTGAACCAGGACTCCATGTTTTCTACATGGCACTCTAGGCAGTCACCACCAGGCAATCAGATTTGGTACCCAAGTTGAAATCTACTAGCTATATCTGCCACCTTTAAAGTAAGTACATTTCTATTTCCAAAATAGATCCAACAAAATTTGTATTTTGAAATTTAGCTGAAGCTTAGCATAATAAATTACTGACTGTATTTCTTGTCAAGTATGTTTCAACATTTCTTAGCTCATTTTAGACAATTTAGGGGGAAAAGCAAATTGAAGCCAAAAAGTTAATAGGAGAAACTGCAGAACATGGTGGGAAACTGAGAGGGGGTACTACCTATTTTTAGAAGTAGCAGCATCCCAAGAGGTACATTATAAAATAAAAGACCAGCAATAAACTCCTCAAAAAGGAAGTAAATAAGTAAATTACATGTGTATTCAATTAAAAACTTTTTTTTAACTACATGGATGGTCACGATTAACTGGAGGATGACAAATGTCAGGATTTTTTCATAGGCATCAGCAACATATTCTATTTTCTGTAAATGGTATTATGAAGTGTAAAAAAGTATTACGGGGGTGACACAAGGAGTAATTGTAGAACTCTATTTCTCTGAAACGGAGTTTATCGTAGCAAAATATCTAAAACATGTTCAACATTCTGAAAAAATAACCAGGTCTTCTTAGACTCATTTGCAATTCAGTTTTTTTAAAGTACCTGATGAAGCTCTTTCCCTTTGAGTTTATTTCTGAAGAAAGCTATGCTAATCGAAGGACTTCAATCAGATGTTCATGTTTCAATTAGTTACTTCTATTTAAAATGAAATAAATTCTCTGACTCAAGAAATCTCGTGCTTTCCCTTTATCTTGCAAATTCATTCAGCAAAAACAAAAACTATGTAAGACCTACTACAATGCAATTATTTTCAACCTCTGGAAGGAACAATTATTAGAACTGCTCTTTCAAGAGAATACACACACACACACACACACACACACACACACACACACACATCTAAAAGCTAGTGATACAACCTGAAATTATATCTAGTTCTTTCAGTGTCCAATATTTCTTGCATTGAGGTTCCTACACATTAGTCTGGGGGAAACTGTTCTCTAACAGAGGTCGAACTTTAACAAAGAAAACCAATAAACCCCCATTACCATGAGTGTTAAAAAAAAAAAAAAAAAAACCTCCTAACAACTCAAATCCCTTGAAGGAATGATTTCTATTTACATTTCCTATGTGATATATTTAGAGGGAATCTGGAAAACATGGCTAGAGATCTATAAACAGAAAGTGCTAAATGGAATTCACTGTTTACTGACTTTAGCTAGAATTTTGTCCCTTACATACTGTTGCCAGGAATCTGTAATACTGTACTCTTTAAAAATATCTTCATCAGGTTTCCTTCATTCTACCGATTTTCTTTCTTCTTTCTACTGGCTTTTAAATTTTTTTATTCTCCTCAATTAAAAGACACAAATGTAACTTCATGGAAGAGCATGATTTTTCCAAAGAAACTTCTAGCACCACCTCTCAGTCCCATCATGCGCTTGTCATTATGTTTTCATATACACAATTAAAAGACGTAACAAAATAATCCATATACGTCTTTCTGATTCAATAAATATGAGAAAAGTTCTCTACTGATGTGCCATGATAAGGCGTATTATGTGAGAATGTTAGTTTTCAAAGGACTACGACAGTCCTTAACATCTGACCTACTGGACAACCACAATAAGGCATATTCTGAATTCACAGAACTCTTCATAGAGAAGTGACTTCTGACAACCTGAAAGGAAGCTGAAACAAAGACGGATGGAAACATATTTAGGCTTCCACTTGAAACTTGGCTCAGCAGCATTCAGCAGTACTAGACTCAGTTCCCTGCCCTGTGCTTTTCAGTCATTTCCTTTAAAGGGTTCCAAAGAAACTAGGAAACCTGCACTGCCAGCCTTTTGACAAGTCAACACTAACTTCTGCCTTTGGACTCCAGTGACTGAGCAGACATTGTGTTAGTAGCTTTCTTAAAGTTCAAATAAATGCCTCTGGTAAATCTGGTTTGTAAACGCTGTAGAAAAAGTTCAACTTAACCGACTGTAAGGTCACTTCAATGAAAATATTAAGGAGAGCACAGATTTCTCCCTGCCCCCAAATCTTCCACGAAGAGACAATTCCCAGGATCTCTTTTTCTTTTTTAAAGTCAATAAACATCACTATCATTATATGACAGCACTTCTGTATTATTAATAAAAATCTAGGTGACAGTTTTCTCTTTAAAAGTCTTAAATTTATTAGATTTAGTATTATAGCCACTTCACTACATGCATCTTTCCATACACTTAGCTGTTCTATTTTTCAACTGTTTTAAAGTCACGATCTCTTTCAAGATACTACAGAAAGAGAACAGGTTAGAAGACTGGGGGAAAATATCAAAATAAGAACATCCTTCCCTTTTCTGATGGAATCACCAGAATCTAAAATCTAGGGGCAACTATAAAGTACAAAATTAAATTCAAGAGAATCGAGGATAAGAAAGAGTCTTGTTACTACAGTTCTGATCATTATTCATCTCAGGAAATAACTAGTAGAAATAATGCTTGATTTAAATTTGCAGTACCTTCTAGTTTGGGTCAACTACCAAAATAAACTTGTCCTCAGAATTATCTTCCTCCTCAAGAGGTTGTTGGTACGAATAAAAAACATAAGGAATTTATATGCTGTATTTGTACAAGAAGGACAATGTTCTGAAAGATATAAATCTGATCACTCTGGGAGAACATTTTCTCTTTGTTAGTTACAAAGAAAAAGCCATAAACTGAAACAAGAACTGGAGAAATTGAACCTTCTCCACAATTCAAAAATCTATAAATTCACACTACTATGCAAAGTAAATAACAACAAAAACACTCTAACCTTTCTGCTCAATTATGAAGGTAACCCATACTCACGGTAGAAAAAGACAAAGCCAGTTCTTAAAACAAAAGATCAGCTGCTATGAAAACAAAACAACATTCTGCAGACTAAGAGAAGTACACCGTCTTTGAACCAAAACAAATAGATGACCTTTTCGTATATTTAAAGCTTCAGTTCTTAGCACAACCAGCACCTTATGGATAAAGCGCTCACTCAATTATCTGATGACTAAACGATGGGGAGGCTGTTGGCGCTATTAAAACCAAGACACATTTCCTTGTGTGCAGTGCTTAAAATCTGTGAAGCCTACGTTAAAAAGTCTCTGTCCTCCCACCCCCCATCCCCCATCCCTGCTCGTCTGCCTTGTAAGAAACCTACATACACAAAAAATAAAAGTAGATGGGTGAGATGAGTTTATGATCACAGTATTTTCCCCACTCCGGGCATTTTTCAAGAGACTTTTAAGGTTAAAATTAAAACACTATGTAAGAAGAGTTATTGTTTGAACTACCTAACAAGTACCCCGACCTCTTTTAGACTTTAGTTAGCCTGTAAGTAAAAGGACCATCTTTAACTTTTCCACGGGGCACTGGAGAACGAGTTTTTACTCATAAATGCTTTCAGGTCTTCAGACACCAGGTGCGGTGGAGGAGCAAGCTTATCCATCAATTAGAGAGCTCCTCTGGACCTCAGTTTACCCACTTAATGAAACGGGCTTATGAACTTGTTTCGTCGGGGCCCCGGAGGTGTAATTAATTAGTGTTTTTAAGTGCTCTGAGATCCAGAGATGAAAGGAAACGCGAGGGACACGCAGAGATGATGACAATAATCATAATAAAAAGAATGACTAACTTGGAAGTCTGTGTTATGTAAGGAAAGGAAAAAGAAGTTATCAGTGTCGCACAAACAAAAGAAAAGCCCACGACCCCTTTTGTTTCCCTTTGGTTTCGGTCTCGCTTCCCGCCCCCGCGGAGCTCCCCTCCGGCAGCTGGCGACCCGGCCCCGAGCGCGGGGCTCGGACTTGGCCACCCGCGCGCCCGCTCCCAGGCAGAGGGGGAGGGCGCGCCGGGCCGGCTCCTGACAAAGGCGCTTCCTCCTGCGAGGGCGCGGGATGCCGGCGCCGCAAACTCCGCTCCCGGCCGCCTCTGGCGCGGGAGCGCGCAGGCGGGAGGGGAGAGCCGGGCGGCCGGCCGCCCGGGCAAGCCACTGAGGAAGTTGCGCGCCTGCCTGGCCCGCACCCCTCGGCGGCCCCGCCGCGACCCCTCCTGCGGCCACACTCACCGGACAACTGCTGGTGGCCGGAATCCCAGCACGGCCCCGACACCCGGAGCGAGGGGGGAGAAGTGTGCGTGCGCGCGGATCGCGAGCAGACAGCCCGGCGTTCCGCCGCCGCCTTGCTCGCCAGCCGGCCGAGCCCAGCGAGGGGAAGTTGGCCGCGGAGCCGAACGCTGGAGAAGCCGCGGGCGGAGGAAGAGCCGCGGGATCCGCTTTGTGATGCGCTCCGGGAGGGCTCGAGGCAAATCCGAAAGCGCGGCGAGGTTGGTGCTGCTGCTGGAGGCGGCGGCGGCGGCGGCGCCCCCCGACGGTTCCACCGCCTCTGGGTCTCTGACCCACGCTCGGAGGGAGGGGAGGGGACTAGCGGGAGGGCGGGGCTGGAGGGAGGGGACGGGGCAGGGCCACAGCGGGAGGCGGTGCGGCGGCGCCGAGCTGTCTCTTGGGAGTTGTAGTTCTCAAGAAAAAAGATGTACATTGTTGAGGACGCGTCTGCGTTCGCTAGGCACTGCGCATGCTGGGGAGCGGGGGCGGGGTGGCGGGCGGCTCGGCCCTACTGTTACTATGGTTACCGACACTCTAAGGAAGGGAACGTGTTAAGCGAGGCTGCTGACTGAACAAGGCCCTCCTTGTATTATGGTACTGTTAGGGATCCCACTTTTGGCTAGTCCTTTTACTTGGCTCCACCCCCAGCTTCTAGCCTCATCACGCCAAGTGCCCAGTGAAATCTGACTTCCTCACCATATCTCTGTCTTCCCTGCTGCTTAATATTATCCCATAAATTCGGGATCACAAATACCCATTTCCCTCCCCTCCCGCAAATGTATCCTCTCTGCCTTAAATTTAAGGTTCTTTGTTTGTTTGTTCTTTAACTTAAGACTTGTAGAAAGGTGTTAGTAGCGTTCAGTCATGTCGGATTCTTTGTGACCCCAAGGAATGTAGCCCCTCCAAGCTCCTTGGGATTCTCCAGGCAAGAATACTGGATTGGGTAGCCGGTCCTTTCTCCAGGGGATCTTCCTGACCCAGAGGTGGAACCCAGGGCTTCTGCATTGCAGATTGTTTACCATCTGAGCCATCAGTTGCTTTCAATATCTTAATTAATTAGGTTATAAAAGGGTTAGGAACATCACCACGCTTAGACTCCCATCATTTCTTCACTCAGTCACATCCAACTTTAAGGCCAGCAAAGGTTAAGTTCAAGGTTAAGATCACTATATCTTACTTGATCCATGTTAAAAAAAATTCTAAAATTTTAAGGCCTACAATTTTCAAGAAATACAAATTTGTAAAGTAGAAGTTCAAAAGATAAATGGAAAGTTGAAAACTGTTTGCTGTGTGTACATTGACCAACTTTCATTTGGCAATAAGAGAAGTCTGAACCAAGGTCTGAGTATGCTTTGGGGCTGGTCAGCTGAGTCTGTGCCCATGTGGGACAGCCAGGTGTGAAGAAATGGTGGAGGAGGTTGGTGCAAGGCAGGACATATTACTGGAATCCGGAGAACTAAAGGCAACCTGTCCCAAGATCTTTTGTTTTCCTTCTCTGCCTACCTAGAACCCCATACTCTGGAAGAAAAGGACTAATATTTAGAAATCAGAAACATGAAAAAAGCTGTGGTTTTCAGGTAGAGAGTTTCAAGGTCAAGGATCCTTCTGTTTGCAGACCCCATAATTAATATTCAAAAAACAGTTATTGAGTATAGTATGTCTCAGGTACTTCTTCAGTTCCCAGAAATAGAGATACAGTTTAAAGGAAATATTTATTTTTTTCAAAGTGCTTACTGCAGAGGAGGAGCCAGGTAAATAAACAAACTGCAATAAATACCTTAGTAGAAAAGTTTACCAGATGCTTTGATCCACACCTACCCCAGACTCAGATAGGATCAGGAAATGCTTCAAAGAACATTTAAACTTGAGGATGACTAGGAGTCAGTGTGTCTGTGTTCTTTGGTGGAGGAAGGAAAAGGGAGAAGTAAGTGAGAGCATTGTGGGCAGGGTTAGGGCTAGGGTTAGGGCAGCAAGAGTAAAGTGCTAGAGGTGTGAGATCAAAGAATATTTTGGTTCAGTAAAGAATTCATCATTGCTGGTGGTAGGATGGGGTTAAAGAGAATGGCCAGAGGAGAGACGAAAAGGTAAAGGAGACAGATTGTGAAGAATCTCATATAATGTGCAAAGAATGCAGTCTTTTCTAGAAGCAATGGAAAGTTGTGCCAGGATTGGAAGCAAATTTTAGTTAGATGTACATTTTATAAATGCATTTTATTCATTTAAAAAAGGATGAGAGTCTGAACTGGCCCTGGCAGTGGAAGGAGACAGAAATGAAGGAAATCAGACACTAAGTAAAAGAATTACTAGAACCTAGTGAGTGAATTACCTGTGATTGGGAGTGAAGGATGAAGAAAAGTTATCAGTTATGATGCTTTGGATTGCCAGCAGCAAAGATCCCAACCCTAACTAGCTTAACCAATAAACCAACATTGACCTGTCTAGATAGAAAGTCCAGTGAAAAGATGGGCTGCAGGGCTGAATGATTCAACAGGTCAGTGATGTCGTTAAGGACATGCTTCTTTCTTGTTTCATTGCTCTTCCTTAGTATTCTTCATAGTTGCCAACAATTCCTGTGGCTCTAAGTTTCACCATCTAGGTCCAAGAAGAGAAGATGAGGGAGTCATTTTTGTAAACTCTTTCTAAAACTCTTTTAAAAAGGAGAGAAAACTCCTTTCTTAGAAGTCTCACCAATTGATTCATGGTGACCAGGGGATGGCATGAGTCTAGTTATCTTAGGATAGAGAAATATATCCTGCCTCTAGATCCAGAGCTGTGATGAGAAGGTGTGGATATCCCAATGAAAATTGAGGTGATAACCTAGAAAAAGAAGAATGGAGGCAGAGAAGGGGAGAACCACAGCACCTACTACATGGAAGGAGAAGAATAATGACTCCCAGATGTTTGGCTTGTATGACTATGAGCAAGTGATGCCATTCACTGAGTTAGGGAATATAAGACATTGAGCAGCTTTTGAGGGGGAATTTGATGAGTTTCATTTTGGGTATACTGAGTTTGACATGGCTCTGAATCTAGGTGGAGAAGTGGAGTGGGCAGTTATATACATGACTCTATTGCCCTGAAGAGAGATCTGGACAGTAGAAGATCAAATTGAAGTGTACCATCATATAGATGGTGATTGAAATTTTGGAAGTGGATGAGATTGGCCAGGGAGAGAATGCACAGCAGAAAAGAAGTTACTAATAGCATCCAGGAGTCTCGGAGCCAATAATAGCATAGAGGCAGCTTCATGCTCTTCCTGCCTACTTTTTAAGTGCTGGGAACATCAGCGCTTAAGATGCCTGGGAACTAGTGAGAACACTAAGACATACAAAGTAGGAAAACATAATCTATAAGCAGGAAAAAAGTCAGTTAATAAAAAAATCTAGAAATTACAGAGATGGTAGAATTAGCAGTCAAAATATTAAAACAATTATTGCAAATATGTTTTATATGCTGATACAGAGAAATTAAAGGTATAAAAATGGTACTTCTAGAGAAACAACAACAACAAAGAAAAGTAAAACAGATAGCCTCAGTGATCTGTGGGATAATACCAAGTATTCTAATATACATGTAATATAGATGAGAGGAGGGTGAGAAGGGTGATAGAAAAATTATTTGAAGTAATATAGCTGATATTATTTTTGTATTTGATGAAAATTATGAGACAAGAAGCTCAGTGAGCCCTCAGCAGGATAAACACACACATTCCCACATACTCACAAAAACCACTGCAATTAAATTGTTGAAAACTCGTGATAAGAAAAGATTAAAAGCAGCCAGTGGGGGATAAAACATTATGTATAGAAAAAAAAAATTTCAGTAAACTTCTAATTTAAAACTATGCAAGTCAGAAGACAATGAAAGGGCGTTTTTAAAGTGCTGAAATAAAAAAAGTCTGTCACATAGAATCCTATATTTAGAGAAGATATCTTTCATAAATGAAGGCTAAAGAAAACAAATGCTGAGAGAATGTTGCCAGCAGAACTGCATTATAAAAAATGTTCAAGCAAATTCTTTGGCATAGAAAAACAGGACTATATAGAAACTTGGATTTATACTAAAGAATGAAAAGTGTCAGAAATGGAAACTATATGAGTTAGTATAAAAGATTTTTCCCTTCACTTAAAAAAATTTTTAAAGATAATTGACTATTTAAAGCAAAATTTATATAACATAATATAACATAACATAACATATATGGAAGTAAAATGCTTGACCACAATAACTATTTGAATTCAAAGGGTGGAAGCAGGAAATGGAATTACATTGTTAGAATTTACATCATATGTAAAGTGTTACACTATTACTTGAAGGTGCATGCTTAGCACTTCAGTCGTGTCCAACACTCTGTGACCCTATGGACCATGGCCTGCCAGGCTCCTCTGTCCATGGGATTCTCCAGGCAAGAATACTGGAGTGGAGCTCTCAGATTGGGAGAAAATAATAGCAAACGAAGCAACAGACAAAGGATTAATCTCAAAAATATACAAGCAACTCATCCAGCTCAACTCCAGAAAAATAAATGACCCAATCAAAAAATGGGCCAAAGAACTAAACTGACATTTCCCCAAGGAAGACATACAGATGGCAAAAAAACACATGAAAAGATGCTCAACATCACTCATTATCAGAGACATGCAAATCAAAACCACAATGAGGTACCATTACATGCCAGTCAGGATGGCTGCTATCCAAAAGTCTACAAGCAATAAATGCTGGAGGGGGTGTGGAGAAAAGGGAACCCTCTTACACTGTTGGTGGGAATGCAAATTAGTACAGCCACTATGGAAAACAGTGTGGAGATTTCTTAAAAAGCTGGAAATAGAACTGCCATATGACCCAGCAATCCCACTTCTGGGCATACACACCGAGGAAACCAGATCTGAAAGAGACACGTGTACCCCAATGTTCATCGCAGCACTGTTTATAATAGCCAGGACATGGAAGCAACCTAGAGGCCCATCAGCAAACGAATGGATGAGGAAGCTGTTGTACATATACACCATGGAATATTACTCAGCCATTAAAAAGAATTCATTTGAATCAGTTCTAATGAGATGGATGAAACTGGAGCCCATTACACAGAGCGAAGTAAGCCAGAAAGATAAAGACCATTACAGTATACTAACACATATATATGGAATTTAGAAAGATGGTAACGATAACCCTATATGCAAAACAGAAAAAGAGACTCAGATGTATAGAACAGACTTGTGGACTCTGTGGGAGAAGGCAAGGGTGGGATGTTTCAAGAGAACAGCATCGAAACATGTATATTATCTAGGGTGAAACAGATCACCAGCCCAGGTTGGATGCATGAGACAAGCGCTCGGGCCTGGTGCACTGGGAAGACCCAGAGGGATCGGGTGGAGAGGGAGGTGGGAGGGGGGACCGGGATGGGGAATACATGTAAATCCATGGCTAATTCAT